TCTTGATTCTGATTGAAAAACTGTTATATTGAAACCGAAGTCTGAAATATTATTCTATCTTCTGCCAGAATCTCCATGTTAGATTTGGGAAATTGATTCCATTTACCCACAGTTTATGGCAAAGGTTCCCAAATTTATTTGGCCGACCGTACCCTTTTCAGGGAAAAAAAAATTCTCAGCACCCCCTGGCAATTACAAACATTTGTATTATAGCCCACAATCCAGGACAGAGAGTAGGTATCTGCTTTCCCAGCACCACTATCCCTTTCCAGTGGGGAGGCATGATATCACCCACTTTGGGAAACACTGGTCTATCTCTGTTCTTCTATCAGTTTCAGACTGCTCTAATTATAGCTTTATATTACATTTTGTAATTGAGAGGTGAAATTTTTACTTTGTTCTTTTTCAAGATTGCATTGGCTTTAAAGGCCCCTTTAAATTTCATATAAATTTGAGGATTGACTTTTCAATTTCTGTAAAGAAGGGAGCTGGATTTTTAAAAATAATAATTAATAATTTTATTGGGCACTCTTACAGATATTATAACAATTCATAATTCAGTTATATCAAGCTTAATTTTACAATTGCTACCACCATCAATTATCAAGCTTTTTTTCTTCTTGAACTCTTTGGTATTATATCCCCTTTATCCCCTCCCTTCCCCACTCTGCCCCCCAGGAACCCTTATTATTATAGTATATATTATTATTATTAGCCATATATTTCACCATCCTTTGTATCCGTTCACCTGAAATTCTGTTATTTGTTCCCCTTGAGTGGGCTTATACCATCATCACTGCTGTCAGTGCCCCCTTCCACCTCTCCCCCCAACCTCTTCTGTGCCCTCAGGGAATCATTACTCTTGTTACTGTTTCTGAAGGGTTATCTATCTTGGCTTTCATGCATAAAACGCTCTTAATTATTCAAATGAACATACACAGGTCTAACAAGATTTAATGAGGTAAAACAAGGTAAGGGGAGGACAGCCTGTGTGATCATGAGGTGTCGAAGGGATCAGGTATCAGGCATCAAAGAACAAAAAATCAAATCATTATGAATGAGGGGGAGTGCAGATTGGGGACCCAAGACCCATCTGTAGGCAACTGGACAT